ACATGAAGCAAGATTGTTTGCGATTTCAGGCCCTGAAGAACAAAAGTGATAAAGACAAGCGAGATGAAAACAAGAAGACATATCGCCAGGGTGATCGCCCGAAGGCCAAGCAGGCCACTGAGAAGAGTTCCAGTGCTGTTTTGTTTATGGCCGGAGAGAAGAGGCAAAGTTGCTGGGTTGTGGACAGCGGTGCTAGCAGCCACATGTGCAACGACAGAAGTGTATTTACCTCGCTCAGCGAAGAGAGCGCTCCGGAAGTGATTCTCGCGGACGGAACTGTAGTGCAATCGGTAGGATGTGGTACTGGTGTGGTGACCGGCGTAGATGGCTGCGGAAATACAGTGGATATAAAACTCTCGGAAGTGTTGTTTGTACCGTCGTTGAACAGCTGTTTGCTTTCGGTGGTAAAGCTGGCTGCTAAGGACTTTGTGGTGATCTTTAGAAAAGACGATTGTGACATTTGTGATCTGTCGGGTACAGTGAAGGTGAAAGGCATCCGATCTGGTAGCTTGTATCACCTGAAAACGGTGGAAACAGTGATGAAGAGTGAAACCAAGCAGCACAATGAACTGTGTCAGCACCAGTGGCACCGCCGATTCGGACATCGTGATCCGTCGAGTGTTGATAGAATGAATAGAGAGAATCTGGTGGCAGGGATGACGCTGAAGGATTGCGGAATCAGGTTGACCTGCGAAACGTGTTTGGAGGGGAAGCTGTCGCGGACGCCGATCCCCAGAGCAGCCGAACGAGCGTCTACGCAAATTCTGAATGTGGTGCACACAGATTTGTGTGGGCCAATGAGAACCGCAACACCCAGCGGCAACCGCTTCCTGATGACAGTCATAGATGACTTTAGCAGGTATGCAGTCGTGTATATCCTCGCCCGGAAGTCGGATGCTGCCGACAAGATCATCGAGTATGTCAGGTACGTGCAAAATTTGTTTGGTAGAAAGCCGCGAGTTATACGCTCTGACGGAGGCGGCGAGTATGATAATAAGAAGCTTCAAACATTCTTTGCGAAGGAGGGGATCAGAGCCCAGTTCACCACCCCCTATACGCCACAACAGAATGGCGTGGCCGAAAGGCGCAATAGGTACCTACAGGAGATGGCTACAACAATGTTGCTCGATGCGAAACTTGACAAAAAATACTGGGGTGAAGCTGTACTGGCTGCCACCTACCTGCAGAACAGGTTGCCCTCACGCTCAGTGGACACAACACCTTTTGAGAAGTGGTATGGGAGGAAACCTGACGTTAAGCACTTGAGGGTTTACGGGTCACAGGCGTGGGTTCACATCCCGGATGTGAAGCGTGGGAAATTTGATAGTAAAGCGCAGAAACTCACATTCATAGGCTACTCCGAACAGCATAAGGGATATCGGTTCGTTGATTTAGCGACGGAAAAAGTCACTATTAGCCGTGACGCTAAGTTTTTGGAGTTTGACAGTTTGCCTCAGGGTGAGTTGGAAACTGATTCAATTACTGATGGGGTAGAGTGGCTTGCTGGTAAGGATGGTGGACGTGATCGGCAATCGGTGGCCGAGCTGGTGCCAGATCTGATGGACGATAGCGATGCCGAAAGCGAGGATGAAGCATCCCACGACCCCATGGATCAAAGCGAATGCGAGCAGTTCTTCGATTTGAGCTCCACTCCTTCTCTTGATGACCCCCTAGATATGAAACAAGAGCCCGAAGGAGACCATCAGGGTGAATCGAGTAGCAAAGGTGTCCGTAAAACCCGTAACAAGTTACCTGACAGATACAACGATTTTGAGGTAGGAGTTGCCACTCATGCGTTAACGGAGCCAGCAACATACAACGAAGCGATGAAGTGTCCGGAGCGTGATTTGTTGAAAGAAGCAATGGATGATGAAATGTCGTCGCATAAAGACAACGGTACCTGGGAGTTGGTACAACTACCACCCGGGAAGAAGGTGATCGGGAGTCGCTGGGTATATAAGGTAAAGGTGAACGAGTCTGGACAAGTGGTACGATTCAAGGCGCGAGTCGTGGCACAAGGGCATACGCAGCGTTTCGGAGTGGACTTCAGTGAAGTGTTTGCTCCGGTGATCCGTCACACCACTTTGAGGACACTGCTTGCCCTAGCAGGCAGGGATAAGATGATTCTTAAGCACCTGGACGTCCGTACAGCGTACTTGTACGGTGTTATCAGCGAAGAGGCTTATATGCGCCAGCCGCCTGGCTACGTGGTCCGCGAACAGGAGGAGAAGGTATGCCGTTTACGTCGGAGTATTTACGGCCTCCACCAGTCAGCGAGGTGTTGGAACAAGAAATTATCCGAAGTTCTGAAGGGAATAGGTTTCGTAGCCAGCTCCGCCGATCCGTGCCTGTATACTGCTATGAGAAATGGATCTACCGTTTATCTGATCGTCTATGTTGATGACATCTTAGTCGGTTGCACTAACGAGGAGGAGCTAACTCAAGTATACAACCAGCTTAAGAAACACTTCGATATCTACTGTCTGGGTGAAGTCAAGCATTTTTTGGGCTTGGAGGTTACGAAGGACGTGGATGGAGTATACAGCTTAAGTGTGTCGTGTCTTTTCGGATATTTCGCATCTCTGAAGTAAACAACAACTCATTGATCTTGCTTCACTAAAGCCAATCACAAGACTGTCTTTTATTTTTATTTCTCTGTTTCTCTCCTGTTATACAATCGTTCTCATCCCACCTTCCTCTCCCTCTATTACTCCTTTGTCGACTTCTCACTCTCTCTACTTCTCTCCCTCTTATTATTCAGTTATTTCAAAACCCTTTTCAATCCCGTTATGATTTTTCCGAGTTTTTCTCAGTAACCCTCTCATCTTTCTTTACGAGCTTCTCGAATTCAATCATATTTTTCTTGCTATCCCTCTTGATCCCTACAAAGTGTTCAGTCGTACATCAAGAAATTGATCTCGGAGTTTGGCATGGAGAATGCCAAAGTGGCGCGAAGTCCTATGGATCAAGGATACCTCAAAGACACCAGCCAGAGTGAAGCGATGAAGGATATCACCATGTACCGTAGTCTCGTTGGTGCCCTGATGTACGTCGCTGTTTGCGCACGGCCAGATATTGCCGCCAGTGCTGCAATTTTAGGACGAAAATTCAGCGGTCCGACTGAAAGGGACTGGACAGCAGCGAAGCGGGTGCTCCGCTATCTGAAGTGGACAGCTGATTGGAAATTGAAACTCGGTGGATCACATAACGGTGACCTTGAAGCTTATTCGGATTCTGACTGGGCAGGAGATCCAGGAATGCGAAAGTCGACGACTGGTTTCGTTGTTTTCTTCGCAGGAGGAGCCGTCTCCTGGGCGAGCCGGGCGACATGCCAAGAAGTTCTGTGGTTACGGCGATTGCTCGAGGACTTAGGCGAGAAACAAGAGAAGGCCACCACAGTACACGAAGATAACCAAGGATGTCTGGCCTTCGTGCAATCCGAAAAGAACAGCCGAAGGTCTAAACACATCAACACGAAGGAGTTCTTCATACGTGACCTTTGCGAGAGAGGAGAAGTCAAGCTTCAGTACCTCCCGAGCGATGTAATGCGGGCAGACGTGTTCACCAAACCATTGGGGAATGTGAAGCACAATGGCTTCGCAACTCTAATCGGTCTTCACGGCAATCGAGGGGCCACCGCTGAGGAGGAGTGATGAACTACATCGGTGCACCCCTCGTTACTATATGTATCTTGGTAGCGCATATCATTATAATAACCTTGGCGCTCATCACCAATAGTTACCCTGTTGTTTTTTGCTTTCCATTCATGAATAAAACGTGTAAATTTGCAACCGCGTGTTTTTCTCTTTCGAAAGTATTTCGTGTCTGTTCCGGGTTATTCTTTTCAGCCGACGTAGATCCACTGTTGAACCTGTCCACCTCGGCCTACAGAATGTTCAGCTCACTGCACGGAGAAGCATTGGGTGCTCTTTGCACCCACACAACAACTACATATTTTGCAGAGATATCAGCAAAAGTAAATGCCGAGAGTTAAACCGAACTTTTTGTCAGTGCGAACCTCAACCTGAGGTACACACTAAGTTTTTTCTACCGAGCTCGACCGTGCAAATCTCGGCAAAAAAAAGTTTTACTGAGATCTGAGAAACTAAGTGTGTAGGTTTATAAAAATAAACGATCAAAGTGACGTTTGTCAGAAAACAAGCAGAGCCGATCTTGATACCCAATCCGAGGTTGCAACTGAATAATAAACAAATTCGTTATAAGTGTGTAGGCCTCACCTGTTTATACCTCATTGTGTAGGACGGATCCTTCCTAGGCTTTCTACCAAAAAGAACCAATGCAAACTTTTAATTCTACCAATAGATTTTTTAATTATAGCAACGATTTTTCTTTCTGTGTGGCAATCTTTATTGTTCTTTGCCAAAATTCAACGTTACGATGGTATCAGTATTTAAATATTTTTAGATGAATATTTATAAAGAAAACTAGAAGAAATTAGAAGAAATTTAGTATGGCATCTTTATGGATTACTATCATGCGACCGATAAAGAAATTATCTTAAATGTAAGTACCCTAATAAACTGGTACCATACACTAACGATATCATAGATGATTCGACCATACCACATAAAGTTGAGATGATATCCCGAATTGGTGGTTAGGCGCTTTTTATGGTTATTGTTTATGCGGGTATCGATCAATAAAGGTTTTTAAATATAATTAATCGAAATCAAAGAATCTTGAAAGTAAAGAATTACCGACATTAATCTTTATTTTTGTATAAAGAACTTTGAAGAAGTTTCACGAATGGTTGGTCGGGATAGGACTTTTTGAAATGTTTGTGTAGTATTGTTTCAAACAGACATTGATCCTTTTGAAAAAGTACTCGAGAGATGCTGGTCGCATTTTTTTCACTGGGACCTCAGAGAGAAATTCAAAACAAAAACCTGTCAGTCAGAGTCGAATGTCAAAAGTTGTTGCATCGCATTATTATTTACGCGTTGAACCCTTTTCCTACAACAGCATCGAATTTTCCATCGTCGCCTTCATCAGAACCAAAAGAGTGTGTGTTGTTTTCCGAGCTTTTCTGCGGTCACCGTCGTCAGCAAAAGAACAGTAGTTTTTTGTAGTTGAGTTTTTTCGTTTTTGATTTCAATCGCTGCCGTGGACAACCATGCCCCCGAAGTGACCGTGCGTGCTCGTCAGGATTGCTCGCCGTGTGTCTGCTACGATGAATCTTCAATCCTTATTTCAGGACTTCAATCCGAGGTAGGAATATTAGTTGTACTGCTTTCGATTTCTTCTTGATGCTGGTGCTGGTTGCATGCCTTGTTTTTCAAGGTTCACACATCGATCGGAGCTGTCCGAATTATAATTAAACGAGTACATGCAACAACAAATAGCAGCAGTCTTAAGAAGAATGTGGCATTTTTGTTTATGTTTCGCTATGCGACACGAACGAGATTCAAGTGCCATCAGATTTGCCTGATCATTCTGTGTCTGTCCTCTTGCAGTAAATTCGTAGTGCATTGCTGTTTGTTTACATTTACCGTCCTATTTTGTCTACGTTTGGACGAGATCATAGGTAAGATCTGGATGCCTGGGATTCATTGTTGGGCTTACAATAATTGACGGATTGATTTTTGTAGATTGGCCCTACTGGGTGATATTCATTCCGCTATGGGTATGGAAGTCGATAGCCACACTAGGAGCGATCGTCGGGGCGATAGTATGGTGTCGGTATCCACACTACAGGTAAGATTGGGTGCTGGTTTTCACTGTATCTTGAGGTGTAATTCTCGAGTCGAATGATTTCAGGGTCGAGGGAGATTCCTATTCGCACTTCAAGGCCATGCTGATATCGCTGTCGCTCCATCTGATATTGCTGATGTTCGAGCTGTTAGCTTGTGATCGACTGATGTCGGGGCGACACCTGTGGGTGCTGGTGTTCATCCCGCTGATCTTTGGTAGCGTTGCCAGCGTAGGAGCCTGCGTTTGGGCTGTAAAACACGATCGATCGTTTGAGGTAAGATTGATACACCTTTATAGCATTATAGATCATGCCTAAACTCATCTCCATTCATAAAGCTGGAACTGTTCTGTGCAGTCAACGCACTGCAGTTCGTGTTCCTGCCCCTCAAACTGGACGGATTCGTATCCTGGAGTTGGGAAGTGGTATTCGTACCGCTGTGGATTGTCCTGTGTCTCAGCTTGGTGGCAGTACTGTACAGTATAATTTTCTGTGGAATCCTCCTTCGAACGCCGGAGGTTTCAGCCCAGCAGAAGAAATCGGCCATCAATTCCGCGATCGGCAACTGCGCCACCGTGCTTCCAATCCTAGTATTTCAGGTGCTGTTGGCCGACAAGTTGGACGAGGATCTCGATTGGCCGTTCATAGCCGTGGCTGGACCACTACTGCTTGCCCTGTTTGTACTGATTCTGTTGAGCTTCAACGCCAAGGGTGGCAATAAGTGTAAGTATATTTTACAGCACTGCAAGATGTAAGGAGCAGTGATGCTCGTTCTCGATCTCGAAACTTGAAAACAATTTCAATTTAACGATTCATTTCCTTCCAGGGTGGTTCGGCATACGGAAAAACTTTTCCCAGTTCCTGCTCGGAGTCCTGCCGTGTCTGCAGGAGTACGGTAACATATCATATCACACGGAGAGTGCCGGCCAAACGCAGCCCCTGGACACGACCGTGCAGTTGGAAGAGTTTGAAAAGTACGACAAAAAGGGAAAGAAAGCGCTGAGCAAAAAGAATGACCATCTCAAACCAGTCGTGCCGATCATCAGCATCGACCTGCCAGATTAACGGGTGAGAAAAAAGAAGAGAGAGCGAAAAGAAAGCTGAACTCGGTTAAGCAAGGCCCCTTTTTACTCACAATACGTTACTACTTCTAAAGCTAAAGCTAGGCACAATTTCTAGGAAAAGAAAAAAAGATAACTAATTTATTGGATCTGTTAGGAGCTGAGTGGAGTGTCGCTTTCCGTGTTCCAACTTGCTAGCGGAGCGGCAAAAGGTGGCAAGGAAGACTACTTGCCGCACGCATTGTGATTGATGGAAAACTCCTTCGTTCATCTGAATTTAAACTCGCCATATTATTTCATTATTCATTTTGTTTTTTAAAGCTAACCATTCATATCGTTTATTGGACTATTTTCCCCTGTAAGATTGTTAGAACTTTTTTTATTTCACTGTCGAGGAAATAGGATATCGAAACACCCTATTTATTTAACCGCCAATATAGATTTAAACGTGGTTAATTTCAACTCACAGTCAACCGCTAGTTGGTTGACAATTGAGGATCCAAACAAGAATTGTACCTACATAGTAAATGAAATGAAAAATTTAATAAAAAAAATATATTCAAACAGTGCGTCATAATTTTGTTAGGATAGTAAGAATCCGCGCGGCTGGTATTAAAAAAAAAACAAATGCGCCGCGTATCCGTGTTGTTGATGCACCTTGGTGACAATATCCATTTAGTAGTGGGAAAAGAGGTAGACAATTCTTTGAATTAATAAATAAAGCGTTTTTCCTAACCAAGCAAAACGACGACGAATGCCACTGTGCACTTTTTTTTTGTAAATCTAGAAATGCTGATTAATTTGATGGTAAGCTCGTATTTTTCTTGTTTGGCTTAACGATAAAATTGTTAAGCATATTGGGTAAAAACAAAGCAGAAGATGCGGTGTTAGAATAGAAAAAAAGCAAATAACTAATGTGAATAGTGATTTGTTAATAAAGTGATATAAAAAATATTCAAACCGCAAAAAAGTGTTCTACCTATTAACGCATAACAATCCAATTAGAATAGGAAATCAAGCAAAGATGTGATTGTTATGCTTTTATGGGCAGTTTACCTTTAAAGAAAATACCCTGACTTAATTATTCTAAAGGATCTTCATCAGTTCTTCGTACCAGGCATAATTTACTTAAAATTAAAGCATATACAAATGTCCTTTTAAGCTGGGTTTAGATAGGGCAAGTCAATTGATCAAGTCAGTTGAATTCAACTGACTTGAACGCGAATTGAACGTGTAAACCATGCCATTCAACTGACTTGATCAACTCACTTGAATTGAAAAAATTCAAGCCAATTGAATTCAACTGACTTGATCAATTGACTTGCCCTGTCTAAACCCAGCATTAAGTTTTTTTTGTACCTATAAACGAACTACTGCCACCGACGAACCGACATGCCACAGGAGCATTTCGTTTGTCCACAATTCGAATTGTCAAACGAGCGATTCGAACTTTCAAACGGGCAAACAAGATATGCCAAAGGAGGTGAGACGCAAACCAAGGCAGTATAAATTATACGTGGGTACGTGTCCCTGCTTATGGTACACAGAGAAAAAAAAATTACCCTAAATTTAAGTTCTTTTTACTTAATTTTGAGTAATTTTGAGTTTTGCATCCCACTCTCACTTTTTGCTGTTGTCAAAAACGGAACGAGAGATTCGACTTTCTCATGACTATCGTTCAATAAGCTACTAGTGAGTATACACGGTAACCGCAAAATACCCAATAATAACTACAAAGTAAGCATTTTCGAGGGAAACTGGGACTACCCATTAAATGAGTAAAATTTTACCCATTTATGAGTAATTACAACTACAAAAATAAGTAGTAAGTATTCATTTTTGAGTAACAAATACTCATAAATGGGTAATATGTTTACTCATTTAATGGGTAGTCCCAGTCTCCCTCGAAAATGCTTACTTTGTAGTCATTATTGGGTATTTTGCGGTTACCGTGTATGAGATATTCTCAAATTTGAGTCAATTGAACTTAATTTTAGGTAGAAAATACATACGAGTAAGTAATTATTTTTGCCGTAGCCAAATGCAAACTACTATAAGCGGTTTACTGAAAATTAGCTTATTGAACGGAACATGGGAGATGAGTGAAAAGAACTTAATTTTGGGTAATTTTTCGGTTCCGTGTATGACACGATCGGATGAGTACACTGAAACAAAATCTATTGTCAAAAATACTATATTGCTGGTTTAAATTAAATACCGTCACCAATATATTTTTGCAGAAAACAATAACATTTAATTTTACTATAATTTCTATCACAATTACTATGCTTTTTGAACAAGCATAGTAGTTTTGCCAGAATCATAGTAAATTTGTTAGCATTCATAGTCAACTATACTGAATTCATAGTAGATTTAACAGTAATAAGCGTGGTTATATTGAAAATAAGTGTTTTCTGCAAAATAGTATGCCAAACTATGGTTCTTGTTTCAGTGTAGATGTCGGTAGTGTTTAACCTGGAGGGGGACGTGTTGTCAAATCAGCCTACTGATCATTCTTGTACGAAATTGGTTCCAAACGTAAACAAACCATGTAGGTTTCTTATGGCTTGTTTACGTTTGGAACCAGTTATACCTATGGTACTAGAGCTGAGCCAAAAAGCTGAGCACGTTTCTTCGGGACCTTCTGGTCTTAGAGTTACCTCTATAGTAGTACCAACAATCAATACGAAACTAACGATTTTAAATTGGCTCACCACTTTAGTAGCCTATTGGTCCCAAGCAAACGATTAACGTACCCTATTCTAGTTGAAATTCTATTACTACACTATGTTTGTTTTGATTCGCTATGAAAGTTTGACAGATAACATCAGGGGTGTGTGGATTCATGCAGAACATGCAGGGGTGAGTGAAATAGCTTGGGACTGCTTGGGACCGTTGTTCTGGTACTGAGTGACCCGCATAAACGCGAACCATAAATTGACCTTACCTAAAATGGTTAAAAATTGTTTATAATCCCTGCTAAACTTTAACTGAAATGATTACGGAACTTTACATGAACGTTTAATGATAAAGTTTCAACCTTATGTATTATGGTTTTTTTGAACTGGACCTTACAAATAATGGGTTGTTAAGAACCATTACCGTTCCAAATTCTTGTTTTCTCCATACATTTTCGGAAAGAGAACTATATTAGAACCTTTTAACTTATGGTTTGAGAACTTTAATGGTAATGGTTATGGTAGTCAGTAAGGTCCACGAATGGTTTTGTAACATCGATCAACTTTATGTGGAATATATCGCGAATTGGTTGCCTGTAATTTACTGATTACCAATTCACGATATATTCCACGTAAAGTTGAGCGATAATACAAAACCATTAATGGACCTTACTGGCTACCATAACCATAACCATTAATGTTCTCAAATCATAAGTAAAAACGTTCTTATATAGTTCTCTTTCTGAAAATGTATGGAGAAAACAAGAATTTGGAATGGTAATGGTTCTTAACAACCCATTATTTGTAAGGTCCAGTTCCAAAAAACCATAATACATAAGGTTGAAACTTTATCATTAAACATTCATGTAAAGTTCCATAACCATTTCAGTTAAAGTTTAGCAGGGATTATAAACAATTTTTAACCATTTTAGGTAAGGTCAATTTATGGTTCGCGTTTATGCGGGGAGCCAAAAATAATAATGATTTTCTTCGGGACCCAGTGGTCTTAGAGTTACCTCTATGACTATACTATGTTTGTTTTGATTCGCTATGAAAGTTTGACAGATAAAATAAGGGGTTCGTGGATTTTCTTAGGTTGCGAGGGGTGCATCGATTAGCTTGGGACCGAAGAAAGTACCAGAGCTGAGCCAAAAAAATTGGGCATGTTTCTTCGGGACCTACTAGCATAGAGGTAATTCTAAGACTAGAAGGTCCCAAAGAAACGTGCTCAACTTTTTGGTTCAGCTCTGGTACTCTCTTGGGTCCCAAGCTAATCGATGCACCCCTCGAAACATAGGAAAATCCATGAACCCCTCATTTTATCTGTCAAACTTTCATAACAAATCAAAACAAACATAATGTAGTACTAGAATTTCGACTAGAATGGGGTACGTTAATCGATTTGCTTGGGACCAATAGGCTAGTCAAGTAGTGAGCCAATTTTAAATCGTTAGTTTCCACCGGTTGCTACTAGTCTCAGGCTGTGTTCCATTTGGTGATTTTTTACTTAAATTTGACAGATGGAAAATTTTCAAATAAACCTGCTATTCCAGCAGACTTATTTCTGACAGACAAGGAATCAATTTTGACAGACGCTTTCTCGAAAATCGGCCGATCAACAACAGAGGGATTTTCGAACATCTTAATTTATTTTCGAAGTGTCAAATCTAAGTGAAAATTTTCCAAATGGAACACAGCCTCAGAGTTACCTCTATGGTACCAGAGCTAAGTCAAAAAGTTGAGCACGTTTCTTCGGGACCTGACAGATAGCACATGAATATTGTACTGGTTTCCAGCAATAGAAATACGTTTACTGCACTCCAAACCAAGCGTTGGTTTCCAGTGTAAAATCGCATTGCTGGACATTTTTCAGCTATTCAAATTGCTGGAAGGCGGATTCAAAATTTGGTGTGTAGATACAGCCATTTGAAAAAGCAAGTTTAGAAAGTTTGGACAGGCCTGATCTAGACCAATCAGTGGCGCGACCGGCAAAAAAGTAGAAATGCCCAGTCGTTTGTCAGGACAATATCTATCAAACGGAAAAGTGTTTACCATTAACGTCGCGATTGTTATTGCACAGGATTGTTATTGTTTTGAACGCTTCAAATTTTCAATATTTTCCGTGTTTATTTGCCACTACCTACTGTTTTTTTTTGTACTTTGTTTTAATCCCTAACGTGTATAAAGTGCGTGGAAAGTAGAGTTCTACGCAAATACTGAATATAAGGTGCTATTTGTGGTGCTGTGGAATCGCAACAATACAGAAATCCTCGATCGGTTTCGCTTACCTCGCTGAAGAAAGATTGGAACGCCATCTTCATCTGAACGAAAGTCTCGTAGTAGGGAAATATCAGGAGGTAAGTCACTCTGCCACTTTGTGCTAACACCCACAAAAACACAATTCAAACACCCACAAACACTAAAGCCCTACAGTAAAAGTATGGACGTCTGTCAAAAGTTGTTCCAATCGAACCGTCAAAATGCACCGCTTTGCTCGATTGGAACAGCTTTTTTCAGTTTTGTGGTGACAGTCGTCCATACTTTTACTGTAGGGCTTTAACAAACACCCATGATAAGCAAATGTTTTAATCAATTCTGGCACCACTGCAAAGAATGTTTACATTCGCTTCGAGAAAAAACTGTCGTACCGTCCTGCCGGTAAAGAGAAACATTCTGGATTTGGAAAACCTCCAATCCGAAAAAAATACGAA